GTGGCCCTCCTTCCAGTAGGGCTTTGTAGAAGCAAACCACACAAGTCAGCATGGGTGAGCCAAGCCTTGGAGACAGTTGGGGAAGCCAGCATTTGTGGAGCAGTGGGCTGGTGTGGTAATGGATAGGTTGAAGCTAGCTAGCTGCGAAGGTGGAGGAATGCGGACTGCTGGAGGATTTCAGGCACAGTAAACCTGGGGGAGAATTCCTCAGGACTGGAAAAGCACACACCAGTACAAGGCTGTGTGTGTAAAAAGACAGGGGCGTGGACAATGGTGAGTGTCCCGTGTGACTTTGGTATGAGAGGCTGATGAGGAGTGGAGCAGGTGACTGTGGAAGGGCATCAAGGAAGAAATCACAGAAGGCTCTGAAGCGCGCACTAAGGGACTATGTCTTGTATGCTTTAGGGTGATGGGGAGTACAGAAGGCATATTATGAGATTGGCACTGCCCTGAATGAGAGAGGAGACCACACAGTGAGCAGCATGGGACACACTACCAGAGAGGAGCTGGGGCGGTCTGCCCTAGTGGAAGACTGTGTCTAGGGGCTGTAACAGGGTGTTGGGGTCCAGCCCCGGATCTGATTCTCCTACTGACCATCTTCTGGCTCCTGCGTGCTTTCCTCCTATCCCAGCTAGGAAGGGATGAGGAGGTGTCTCCTGGCAGCTCCCTGTTACCATGGAGAGCTTCACTATACTCCACCCATGATTTAGCCCAGCCCCCAGAAGGCTTCTATGGTCCTGTCTTTGTGTCTGCACAATGGCTATCTTTGTCTCAGCAACCTTCTCCATCTCTGTGTGTCTCTCTATCAAACCCCAGCCTCCACTCTGCCTCTCTGATTTGGCTTCCCGCACTAAGTCTCTGTACAGCACTGAGAAAGGGACTTACTTCTCTGACAGAGGCTGAGTGCTTGAAAAGGAGAATAAAATCAATGGGGCTGGAGAGATGACTCAGTGATTATGAATGCTTGCTGCTTTTTCAGAGGACCTGAGATGGGTTCTAGGATCTACATCAGGTGTTTCACAACCACCTGTAGTGCCAGCTCTAGGGTATCTGAAACCTTCTTCTGGCCTCTGAAAGCACTGCACTTTAGTGCATGCACATGCGTGTGTCATACACAGACATACACACACACTCACACACACACCTAAAACTAAAAGAACTTGGTACTCTTTCAGAAGACCCAGGTTTGATTCCTAGAACCCACATGGCAGCTGACTCAAGTCCCAGAGGCTCTGACGCTATCTGCTAACATCCACAGGCACCAGGCACACATGTGGTACATTCACAAACATAAAATGAAATAAATTTTTAAAAAAGAATCAAATTTTTGTCAAGAATTCATCCACATTGCTGAGTGGTGGTGCACACCTTTAATCTCAGCACTTGGGAGGCAGAAGCAGGTGGATCTCTGTGAGTTCGAGGCCAGTCTGGTCTACAAAGCAAGTTCCAGGACAGGTTCCAAAGATACAGCAAAACCCTGTCTCAAAAAAAAAAAAAAAAAGAAAGAAAGAAACACCAACCAAAACAACAAACAAACAAAAGAATGATGTCCATGCAGACGCTATTCAGTTAGCCAGTCCTCAGACTGGTCACTGAACTTCCTACTCATACCTCCTCCTGCTCAATGGCTGCCATTAACCCATTTGACAGGTGAGGAAAGAGAGGCCCAAGGGTAGGGTTAGCTTCCTAGGTGTAAGAGCTATACCATTAGTGCCTGTTTATTTTGAGACAGGGAACTTACTATGTAAACCAGGCTGGCCTCCAGCTCACAGAGATCCACCTGCCTCTGCCTCCCAATTAAAGACATGTGCCACGACTTCCAGCCCAGTACTTAATTCTTCTGTCACCATCTTAAAATTTTGTGGAGGGAGGTGGAAGGTGCCTTTGTCACGTTGGCTTTCTCCTTCTCAGAGCTGCCTCTCTGGAGGGCTGCCTCCTGGCATGCCAACAGCCAGAGACCTCCCAGCATTCATTTGCCTTTCAAGTCTTGGCCCTGGTCAGGGAAACCTGAGGAGCCCAGTCCCAGTTCCAAAGGAGGGAAGGAGAGAAAGAAGAAGGATAATAGAAAGGATCATTTAGGTTCACACAACCACTTTGGGAGCCAGGAAGACAAGCTGGATGGCCCAGTTCTGCCTAGTGAAGCTGCCAGATTAGGCCCCAACAGCAGGGCCCAGCCATGATCCAAGAACTCTTCAGGGCCTTCCCTCAGCACATACAGTTCCAGAGTTAGGTCCACAATACATGTATATGAGCCTTGGCTTCCCTCAATGTACCATGGGAACGATAATGCCTGATTCACAGTAGCCAGCTCAAAGAAGGTGCACTATAAAGAGCCCTGGAGACTGATCATGTGACAGGGACATCCAGCTGTGTGTGTAGGACAGACTGTGCCACACCTTCAAAAAGATCCCTGTGGTGGGGGGGGCGGAGGTTAGGGAGAGTGTGCAGGGAGGTGTGGCATCTGGAGGAGGTCTTAGAAGAGCAGTGTCAATAGAAAAGAGACCCAAGCCGGAGAAACACAAAGGGCAGAGGGAGTGGCCAGCACCAGCAGGAGGTGAGTAAGGGTTCAGGACTGTAGACTGTCTGGCTTAGTACAGGTTGGAGGAGAGGCAGAGAGAGGGTAAGGCCTAGAGTGGGGGCTGGGGAGCTGGGCTGCCTTGAAGGCAGTGGAAGCCCCCTCCTCCCCAGAGTACGAAGCAGGGAGTGTCAGTGAAGGGAAACAGAGGCATCATTCAAGCAAAGACGGCATTGGAGGATTGGAGGCTAGGCCAGGCAATTGTGGATTCTCAGGGAGAAAACCTTCTCAGGGGAGATGAGAGAAAGATGCCTGCCAGGAGGCAAATGCTTGCTCAGGACTGGAGAGACAGGGAGCCTTCTAATGCGAGGTGGGTTCAGGGAGCCAGGGTGGGGGCTTTGCCAGTCCCCTCCTGAACTGCTGCTGCTAATGCAGTTGCCCCTGTGGCTTCCTCACACCCCACAGGGATCATCACAGTGCCTGGACTTTACCATTAGCCTGCCTTGGCTGCGAAGTTCAGGGAGACGCCCTCAGTGCTGTGCTAGCCTTCATATGGTACTGTGACTCACTGCGCTTCAGTTTCCTGACTGGATCAATACAGGCTCTAAGTTCTTTCAGTCTTAATGAAATGTCTCAAGTTGTGAATAAATCAAAATATGAAAGTGAAAGACCTGGATAAATCCAGATCCCCCTAACAGGAAAATAGAGCCAAAAATCTAGCAGGAAGAGAAGAATCAGAAATCTAGGATTAGCCAGTTCCAGGGTTCCAGGAACTAGCTGAAGATAAATGTAGATTATAATCTTGAGAGTAATCTTGAGAGACAGAGAGATTCCCCCTAGTAATTATCACCCCCTAGTAATTATTATCACTGGAATAGGAATTAGCTGATTAATGATCTTGAGAGGCAGGGAGTTGCCCCTTTGTAATCATCACTGGAATTTTCGAAATTTTCTGTGACACCCTCACCCCCCCTTTCGGATTACTGGGCTGTGTGGTTTCTTCCTATAAAAACTACTTCTCCTGGTCACTCGAGGTCGAACTCTTCCCCTGCGTGGGTTATGAGTCTCGGCCCCAGTGCACTGGTCCCCGTCTTGTCGTCTTGTCATTAAACCTCGTGTGATTGCAGCAAGGACGGTCTCTCATGAGTTACTGGGGGGGGTTGCGTCTTCCCGAGGCTCGAGTGAGAGTCTCCCCAAATCGGGGGTCTTTCAAAAGCAAAGTTGCTCAAGTCGGGGTAAGATGGCAAAGGGAGCGGTGTTGGGCAATGGGGGAGGGGAGCAGTGTTGGGCGGTGGGGGAGGGGAGCAGTGCTGGGCGGTGGGGAAGCTGCTACATGTGGTTCCACAAAATCTGATGTAGGAAAGCATCAGGGAACCTAGCCTTCCAGACTCTTCTGAGAAGGGATACTCACTCCTCTGAACAAGGAAACTCAGATGAGGAGCAAGACCCTAAACAAGGGCATTGTCAGAAGAGCAAGTAAGCAGACTGAGAGCCAAGCATGGCAGCACTCAAGAGGCTGAGACGGGAGGGCTGCTGTGAGATCGATGCCAGCCTGAGTTACATAGGGAGATCCTAGTTAAACAAAAACAAAATAAAGAAAACAACAGAGAAAGAGATAGACTGGGACTCAGTAGTGGTAGAAAAGTTGAAGGAAGACTGGGATTGAGTACAGGCTGTGAGGTCCTTCTGAACCTTTTTTCTCTTCCTCAGGCATTACTAGGTCACCTGACATGAAAACTCAGATGTTATGTAGCTCAGGGATGTCGTCTCTTTGACTGTAACATCAGAAATTGGAAGACAGCAGCAAGTGCAAAGTCCAAGACTGGCCACTGGCCACTGGGGTCTCCTAGAGGCTGGTCTCAAGCCGGCTCCCAGGGGAAGCAGCAGCTACAGTAAAGGTCTAGCGGCTCAAAAAGGAGACCAGGAAAAGGAAATCAGCTGGGGCTTCAATAACCAGGAAGACTCCCTCACACTAGGACCCTAAAGCCAGCAGTGCAGCTGTAGAGAAACCTAGGTCTCTAGAAGCTGCCTGCACCAGCTCTCAGTCAGCAGAGGAGGTCAAACAAGGTGCCTTCCTGTCTCCTAAGTGAAGGCCCCAAGAGGCTGCAGGGAGGCTCAACCACACAGTTCTGTGTGTCCACCTTCGTCACTCTAGACAAGGCCGCAGCCAGCACCCCTTCTGGGCCCCTTCTGGGGCTGGGAGCACAGTTTACAAGGCTTACAGCCCCAGGGCAGAGAGCAAGCTCCCTGGCCACAGGAAAACACCTGCTCTAAACTTGGCCTTACGGCCATCTGTCTGGGCATCTGAACACTCCCGGGATGGACAGTGGAAGTAGGGTCGTGAGAATTGCTGACTCCGGTTCGCAGAAAATGCGTCCTTGAGTGGGACTCTCTGCACTAAAGCTGGCCCGGAGCTTCCGTTCCAGATTCCTGGGTCAGAAATGGGAACAGGACAGCAGTGAGAGAAGGATGATGTGGTCTTTGCTCTTTTGTGCTCAAACTAGGACAGGGGCGTAAATAGGGTTCGTGGCTATAGAAGATCTTCAGAGCAGAGCAGAGAGAAGAGTTGAGGCAGTTCAAGATGAGAGAACAAACTGAACAGGGACTTAAGGGACCTGTTGGTGAGGTGAAGTGAGAGAGAAAGCAGATGGAGGTGGTAAAAGGGGTAAAGACCCTTCCAGGTACCGGTAGTCCGGAGCAGATCCGTCCGGAAGTGAGATGGACTAGGGCAGCAGCGAAGGGGAGGCTGCAGGTTAGTGTAAGGGTCCATTGGTGGGCTGGGGAGCAACAGGAGCCATGCCAGCACCAGGCAAACTTTCTAAAACTTGGGCGTCTCTGTAAATCTCCCCTCTGATATGAGGAACGAGACAGGTGAACTCTTCCCAGCCAGGATGGTCGCCTCCCGCCTTCCCTGCTCAACACCGGTTGCGGACATGCTGACCTCGCAGTGGTACAACCAGGCCGTGTCCCAAGCGGGTGACAGACTGGAGGCATCTGTCCCGGACGGCTCCTGCGTCTGCTCAGAGTCCGCCCCGCCCTCCTGCTTGCTGCCTGGCCGTGGGGTACGGAGCAAGGCGGGGTGGGGCGGGGACCGCCGCTCTTCCAGGCACGTGGGCCCCTGCGCCGCTGGGCATAGGACTTGGGAACCAGGAATCGCGACTGTGGCTTTTGAAGGGGACCAGCGCATCGCGGAGGTGAGGTGGGCAGCCTAGAGGGGAACGGAAGCCGGAGAGGTCGCCGCCGGGTGTGGCCTGGGAACTGGCACTACAGTCGACTCAGCGCCGGACAGGAGAGCTCATTACGTGACTGTCCCGTGGGCCCTGGCTCCCAGCCCCGATATTGAACAAAACTGGATGGTGAGAGCCGGCTGAGCTGCCGGTACTCTATTGAACTTTATCTCCTCTGGATCTTGGTGAGTGACAGCCTGGTGTGTTTACCAGTGTACTGGGGAAATCTGTGTGTTAGTGGGTGAATGCGCACACCCCTGGGAAGTGAGTGACTGAACTTGAATTAGTCTGTGGGTACCCCAGAGGCGTAAGTCTGTGGACAGAGACCCGGGAGCCCTGAGAGTTCTTGTATTTGTATTCCTTCCTCTCTCCCCAGAGTCACTCTGGGTGGCCCGCTGCAGGAGTGTGTGTGTGTGGGGGGGTGAGGTGGGGAAGACAGTGGCAGCGGCTGTGGGAGGGGTGGAGGTGGTGCAGTTTCATGTAAGGACAGTTAAGACTTTAATCTGTCTGGAAACTTTTTTGTTTTGTTTTGCTTTTCGAGACAGGGCTTCTCTGCGGTTGCTTTGTAGCCTGTGCTGGAACTAGCTCTTGTAGACCATGCTGGCCTCGAATTTACAGAGAACAGCCTGACTCTGCCTCCTGAGTGCTGGGATTAAAGGTGCGTGCCACCACCACCCAGCTCTGTCTGGAAATTTTTAATCTGGCAGGTGGTGCTAGAAGGGTATGGCAGAAGATAGACAGCGCCCACCTCATTAGGGCTAGCGTGTGTGTGTGTGTGTGTGTGTGTGTGTGTGTGTGTGTGTGTGTGTAGTGTGTTACTGATCTACAGGAGCTAGACCCAAGTGTAGATCCTGCTGGAAACTAGCTTTTCTGGTTTGGGGATTTATAGGGCTAGGTGTCAGCTGTTCTCAGAAAGGCATCCCCAGAGTCCCTGGATCAGCAACTTTGTTTTGGATCAAGTTTGAAATAATGACTTTTGAAGATCAGGTTGGGGCTCCAAGGAAGTGTCAGTTACCTGTGGATGGGGGTGTGAGGACGGGGATTCTGTGAACAGGCAGCCTCTAAAGGGAGGTCAGTGCCAGCACCATCCTGCATGAGGGGTGGGGCAAGCCCTGTCTGCCAGTCTTCTCTATGCTTCGGAGTCTCCTGGGTTTTGAGGAGATGGGAAGGCTGGCCTACTGGTAATCCTCAGGAGTGGCTGCCCAGCATTAGACTGAGGTTGTGGCTTTCTGGTGCCCTCTTGCCCACACCCCCATAAACCAGCTGGCCGTGTGAGGACATCACCAAAGCTTCAAGGGCGACATCAGATCTTTAATTTCATGACTGTAATTTCTTTCTTTCCTTTTTTAAAAAGTACTTATGCTATTTATTGGAATGTTGTTGAATTGTTGTTACAGTTTACAAAAATTCCTCATTTTATTTTACTAAAGGCTCCATGAGAAAGGAATCTTTATTTTGTAGATGAGAAAAATAGAAAATGTCTTGTCCAAGGTCACAAAGCCAGATAAAAACTGGGACTCCTGCCTACCTGTCCCAGCTGAGGCCTCCCCTCTAGGACCAAAGCTTCAGGATGAGGCTATGCCACTTGTTTCTAGGCTGAAGGGAGATTGGACAGTAGGTTCTCACTGTGTAGTCCTGGCTAGCCTGGAACTCACTATGTGGACCAGACTGACCTCGAACTCACAGAGGTCTGCCTGTAACCTAACTCTGAAGCTCTGGGATTAAAAGCATGTACCACCATAGGGCTTTCTTGTGGCCTAATTACCCAGCTGTTCCTGGATAGCCACCATTTTCCCAGTCTGCTTACAGGACCGGGAAGATCTTGCTGACTGGCTAAGTAAGAAGTGCCCTCCAATGGCATCTCCTCTGTCCCCCTAACTGCCTTCCCCTGGCCTGTCTGTGCACCCTTTAACCCATCCTTTCCCCTGAGATGCCCTTAGGTTCCTAAGCCACCAGTGGGGCCTAATGGGAAGAATCTGGCTCAGGACCCTCCTTAATCTCTAGAGAAGTCAGTCAATTGTGTTATGAAGCTGGGCCATCGCTGCCTTCTCATCCAGCACCAATAGGGCACAGGGCAAGTGCCAGGAAGTATTTTGGAAATGAGTGAACAGGTACAGTGGATATTCAGAAGAGAAACTCCTTGTTTTGTGAAGAGCCACCATAGTGGGTTCCTGTCTCCACATTTTGAGACTTATGTACTAGACTGGTCTTGAATTCAGCCTGTAGAGTGGTATTAGCTTCTAATTCTCCTGCCTCCACCTTTTGAATGCTGGGCTTGTAGGTATATACCTGTTTTATTTAGTGATGGCAATCAAACCAAAGATTTCTTGCGTTCTAGGTAAGCATTTTACCAACTGAGCTATACCCCAGCCCTTCTGGGTCTGAGAGAGAGAGAGAGAGTAGCTCCTTCATAGCCCTGCCGCCCAAGCCCTGAGACCTGCTCCAGTCTTGCTATAGAAAGAGTGGCAGGATTCCTTGATGGAGAGAATGGCATCCTAGACTTGCTGGGCCCAACTCAGCCCTGCATATTCACGTTCTGTCACTGTTATTGCAGAAGAGAGGTCTAGGCACTGGGCCTCGCTCCAGTTTGTATGGATAAAGCCTCCTGGAGAGTTCAATTTGTAAGAGAGATTTGCCCAGTCCTGGGCTTGGGTCAGAAAGGAAGCTCACAGGGCGTTCCGGACCAAGACTGTACCATTATATGTACATTCTCTTCCATGGTCACCCACCCTCCAAACTCCTTGGTGCTAATTGCTTTCCATTGGTGCCATCTTTGCAAGGGTCAACTCTAAGAATGCATTCCCTTTTAAGCAGGAGAAAAAGCTCTCAGCTTGGCATTTGAGACCTTTCGTATGAATTCCTTGGCCCCCACACATTCCATGCCACCTAATCCTCCATGCCAACCACACAAGATCTCCTGGCACTTCTTCAACAGCCTGTACCCTCACCCTCTGAGTCTTGGCTTGGGCTTCCTCCCTCCCCATCTCTGTCTGCTTTGACAACCCCAAGTTATCTATTAAGGACAGCTCCTTGGGGAAGCTTCCACTAACCACTTCCCCAGGATACAGGTTGCCCCAGTCCCTGCGTTCCCTTTGGATATGGTTGGATCTCCCAAGATAACCTGTCCATCCCTGTGCACTCCTCAGAGGGCCTGACAGAGCTCATCCTCTGAAGCTGTGCATTTGCAGACACTAGCAGGCGTTTGCTGAAACTTTGTGGCTCTTAAGATTGTGAGTTATTGTTGTGTTACTCTGAGCACAAACTCCTGGGGTTCTGAGAATCTCAGCCAAGGTTTTTTGGAGTCACAAGAAACAGAGCTTTGGACACAGCACCTGCTTCGGCAGGTGAACTGAAGGAACAGCATGAGATTCAGGCACTCTTGGAATTAGACTCAGAAGTCAAAACTGCCCAGAGGAGAGTCTGTCTCGTCATCTTCTGTGCATCCTGTGATATGAACCTGGGTTCTCCTATCTCAAGATGGATGCTTCCTGCCCTTCCCTGGTCACAGCTTGGACCATGACCTCTGTCTCTCTGCTGGGGACCCAGAGCAGGCCTCCTGATGAGAAGTGTTGTAGTGCCCCAGAATTCAGCATTTTTCTGCCATGATGGGAAGACAGTGCCTGCACCTCCAGACTGTATACGTCTTCCTCCTTGTGGGTCCCCACTCCCACTGCTCCCTGGTCTTATTCGTTCTTCATGAGCTGCTCTCATGGATCTGTGCCTCTTCCAGTTTGACCAGTAAAGAACTCACACTCAGGGACTGGGTCTAACTTGACCCAGACTGCACAGCACAGCAGGCTCCAAGTTGGGTCTTGTTGGAGGCACTCAGGTGTGCTTGGCTGGGGAGGAGTCTGGGTTCTTGTGATTCTGAGCCCATTTAGCCCATCTCTGAAGGAACCCTGTGCTGTACTCAGCTGAGCTGGGCCAGGTAAAATCCATGATTTGGAGTCCTGCCTTGGCTAGGTAGGCCCTTTTTCCTTGGAGTCTCAGCTTTGTGCTCTGTGGAGGTTTTACACTACAGACACACCACCTGATACGATCAGAGGTCACCCCTGAGCTGTGTCCCCAGACTAGGCCTGGAGTAACACACCAGGCACAGATGGGGGAGTTGCTATCCTCTAACCCCTTGGAGGATGTTTGGAAAGGAACAGACAGGCAGTGACTTCTAGGTTCTTAATCCTGTGCTTCTTAGATTGCCTGTACTATGCTCAAACCACAGGTTGCTTAGAGTTCAGATCATCTTGCCCAGATTTGTGCTTACTCTTCCTCCCCATACCTGACACCTCCGCATCTTTCTAACCACAAGTCAGGTGTCCTCTTCTCCAGGAAGCCTTCCCGAGGAGGGGTCTCCTTTCCTAGCAGGGCCTCCTGGCTTCCTTCAGGCCTGAGCAGCCTGTTGTCACGTCTGTTTCTGGGTGTGTCTTCCTGACCCCTGACCTTGATAACAAACATCCGGAGAGCAGGGAAGAATGTAATCTCAGAGCCACCAGAGGACAAACCTAGGAACGCGGTGTACGGTGGATTGCTGAGGACTCTGGACCTCCTTCCCCCGAGGATGGGTCTTGGAGTGTGAGGTACTGATCTTAGGTCAGCCTGGCTCCACCTTGCCACCGTAGCTTCACCCCTAATTCCTTCAGGGCTACTTGCCTGTCTCGTCTTTGGGAGTGTTCCCATCCCTCCTGTCTCTACCCTGCATTGCAACCTCCTCTCTTATTATTCTGTAGTGTGTGTGTCTGTGTGTGTGTGTGTCTATGTGCGTGTGTGTGAAGTTTTTGCTCACAAGCAAGTTCTATTCTGTTAAGAAGAGATTGACAAGCTGGCTTTGGGATTGACAGCTCTGCCCACCTAACATCTGGAAAGGGCAGAACAGATTCCCCACACACCCTGTGCTCGCTCCTCCCTCTTGATGCTGTTCTAAGTCCAGGTCCTCAGTTTCCCTCCCAAAATGTCTTTCTGACAAAGGCAGGTAATAACAGGGCCTCTGGAGCCATGATAAGACACTCTCCCCTGCGAAGCTGGACAGGGTCCACCAGCCTAGCAGGTGGCGCATTCCAGAGCCACCCTAGTAGAGGAACTGGAATGTTGTCCAACCACCCAGGAAAGTCCGCTGCCAGCCTAGGATCAACTCTGCTTCCTCCTCTTGGCTTTAGACTTACTAGCCTGGGACTAGTGAGAAAGAACCAGGTTGGAGTTGTCAGACCTCCTCTTCTGGAGATGGAACAAAGAGGCAGAGCTTTGGGAGGTGGTCAAAGGTGAATGGCCGGGGATCTCCCTGGGGACGGCATCTGGGCACGGTAGGGTAGGGCAGGAGCTAGTGGTCAGGGCACAGCAGAACTCTTTGCTATTTGCTGGTGTTGTGACTCTAAGGAGGTTATTTTAGCCTGCTGAAACCGTCAGGCTAAATATGAAGAGGCTCATGAAGCCACCTAACATAAAAATGGGTACGGAGAATGCTCAGCTCTCCCCACGAGACTGATGGTAGAAAACGGAGAGCTATCCCTGAGTGAGATAGAACCATGCGACTGCTTCAGTCGTACTGAGACAGGAGGATTGGGGAGAAGGGAAGACAGGTTTTCTAGTGATGACAGGGACCAGTTCAGCCAGGACCTTAAGGGCAAGACTGAGAACCTTGTATGTTAACCTAGCAGCAGTATGGAGCTATAGAAGGATTTGCACTCAAGAGCATGTGGTTAAAGGTAGGTATCAAGAAGACAATGTGACTAAAGAGTTAAAGTTGAACAGGCAAGGACTGAAGTAAGAGGATGGTGGTTCCGAGGGAAAGTTTAGTCCTGTGTCTCTACTTCAATGCAAAGGGCATACAAGCATGTCTAAGGAACTCCGCTGGCTGAGCTTGGTGAGTGATGGGCATCAGATGGGGTGGAATGTTGAGAGATGGGAACCTAGGAGGATGGCAGAGGCCCTTTGAGAAAGTGGTGTGCTCTGCCTTAGCTGGTTGGTCAGGCACCTCCGGAGGACAGGCTGAAAAGGGGAGCTCTTTTATCTTGCCACCAGACTCTTCAGCAGACTGCCAGATAGCAACCCACACTCTGGCCAATGTCAGCCTAGGTGCATCAATTCATCAGTGGCCAAGAGGTACTTCCCAGGCCCTGTCTTGGTCCTCTATCCTGCAGCCACCCATCCCCTCCTGCTCTCCCATCTTTACACTGCACCTCTAGCTTGGGGGCTCCACTCCCCCACTGTTGAGAAAGTAAGCAGATGGAAAAAGATATTAGGGAGCTGGAAACGTAGCTCAGTGGTAGAGCACTAGCCTAGCATGCTTCAAGCTCTGGATTCAACCTTCAGGACCAAAGAGAAAGGGTGTGTGTGGCTCACATGGGAGAGTATTTGCCTAGCACTCCTAAGACCTGGGTTCTGTAGCCCCAGCTCCACACAGACAGAGTATGGTGGGGCACAACTATAAACCCAACGCTTGGACGCTAAGGACAGAAGAATCAGAAAGTGAAGTTCATCCTCAGCTATATGGTGAGTTTGAAGTCAGAGATGTATAGCACTCTTTCTCAAGAGAAAAAAATTTAGTCTGGACAGTGGTGGTCCACACCTTTAATTCCAGTACTTGGGAGGCAGAGACAGGCAGATCTCTATGAGTTCGAGGCCAGCCTGGTCTACAGAGTGAGTTCCAGGACAGGTTCCAAAGTTACACAGAAAAGCTCTGTCTTAAAAAACCAAAATAAACAAATAAAATAAAGTTAAAAAAATATTCAGGAGGTTTCTGGTGGGTGCTAGGACCTGTCCATACAGAGGGGTCCTTCTCCCAGGCAGTTGTATCCTCTCTCTAGCAAATCCCGTGTCTGCTGTATATGAGGGGCTCACGGCTCAGCTCTGTTCTTGAGTTTCTTCCTCCGTTAAATGGGCATTCAGCTCAGGTAGCTCCAAGGGCTGTACCAGGCCCCATCTAGACCATGTCAATATGCTCCCTACTTGTGCATGTGGATGTGAAAGTGTGTGGTCTGGATGTCTACATGCATTTGCACCTGGATGTTCAAGTGTGTTGTATGTGTGTATTTGCAATACCTGTGGAGGAATGTCTAGATGTGGAGTGAAGAGGAGGGCACTCTAGTTAGATACCTATCCTGGGCAAAGGTATGTTGGCAGTGCTATGCTTGTATATGCTGGGCCAAGAAGGTATTGATTGTTTCCTGCTGTGGGGCTGAAGTGCAGAATCAGGGCCAACGGAAGGCTGGCTGGACTCTGAAGATACCAGGAGAGAACTTGCACAAAAGTCTCCTTCCAATGAAAGGGGGTGCCTGAGAAGGAGGCTATGAACAGCCCATTCCTGGAACATATGAGCTAGCAGGGGATAACAGGGTGTGTGGGCATGTAGAGGGCACTGTGACCAGGACAAACACACTGGGTCTCCTCTTGGCTTCTTTAGGGCCTCAGTGTAATGGATTAAATAAAAATGCTGCAGGATCCCCAGAGGCTGCCGTGGCAGAAACACTGCAGGTCTCCCAGCGGCGGCTGGTCCTGGGAGCAGCCAGTCCCAGGCAGGGATGGCTCAGTTCCCCTAGTGGCTGCAGTGGGCCAGGAGGAGAGACAGACAGATGGGCATGCCACAAGACCACGTCACAGGTCTCCAAAGGCAGCTGTACCTGGGCAGGGAGCCACACAGAGGGCAAGAGACAGAGACATGGATAGGCACGCCATACAGAGTGAGGTTGGTTGGATATTTATTTAGTGGGTTATGGAAGGGAAGAAGGAGAAAGAGAGAGAGAGAGAGAGAGAGAGAGAGAGAGAGAGAGAGAGAAACAGAAGGGGAGGAAGGGGAGAAGTGGAAGAGACAAAGAGACAGAAGCTGCCTCTTTGAGAGGGAAATGAAAAAGGAAGAGGCTCAGGCTACAGGCAGGACGGAAGATCTGCCTGCCTCAGCGGACAGGAAGGGAGTGGGCGGGACTTGTCTCTTAAAGAGACAGGACAGATCATTACACTCAGTCCACAGTTAAATAAGAGGAGGCAATCTATGGGAGGGAGGGAGGGAGGGAGGGAGGGAGGGAGAGAGAGAGAGAGAGAGAGAGAGGAGACAGAGAGAGAGAATATGGCTGGACTGACAGATTCTGAACCTACATTTGCTTCTTTGTCTCTTGGTGTCTACAGGAGCCCTCCAGGCAGCTGCTTGCCCTGAAAAATGCTGGAGGCGGGGCATAGCCCCAGGCCCAGAAACCTGTTCTTCCTGTTTGCTGCTTTGGTCCCAGCGGCTGGTCCAGGCCTGAGCATTTATGAGTGAAGAACTGGAGCCCACACTGAGCATCCTCACTGCACCAAGAGCAAGACTGGTCAAGTCCAGCCGGGTGTGGGAGGCAGGTCCCCCGGCTGGGAGGCTGGGCATTTTTGTGTGTGTGTGCACTGAATTCTGCTTGCATCATTGGGATCCGAGGCAGGGACTGTGTTCTGCTCCTTTATCCCAGGTTCTGCAACCAGACAACCCTCAGTGTCAAGCCTAGTTTTTCCAGTTCCTTCCAGTATAACCAAAACAGATAGCTTAACCTCTACGTAGGTATTTACCAGGTACTGAATGCCGCCTTGCGGGAGCTGCTTAAACCTGATCAGATTCCCACTGAATGGGAAGGTAGCGGAGAGGGGCTGCATGCTGAGGAACTGATTAGACTGAGCCAGAGGTGGATCAGGGTAAGTATGGGGTTGCCTCAGCTACCTGACCAATCCCAGACTGTTTTCCTAGCTACAGCATAGAAAGGCAGGGCAGGGCAGGACAGGGCAGGGCAGGGCAGGGCAGGGAAGGGTCATCTGGGTCCTGTCAGTGTTAAACAAAAGAGGTGGTCGAAGGATCCCTCTCAGGCAGGAGAAGGATTTGGCTGAGCCTCATGACTTGTGGGCTCAACTCCTCTGAGTTCCCACAGCCTCTAATGCATCATTTCCTCTTCATTCATTCATTCATTCATTCATTCATCCTTTCTTGCAAGAAGCACTTGTAGGTCAGGCCTCTTACTGGGCTATAGGTACAGAGAAAATCATCACATGGATCCAGGCTTCAAAGAAACGTGTTGGGGCGGGAGTGGAAAGACAGGCTACCTTAAGGCTGGAGAAATGGCCCAAAGAATTGGTAAACTGAAAAGATTTCAGTGATAAGGGACACTGAGAAAGAGCCTGGAGAAATGGTTGGGACAAGTCTCGTCTTTAAAGGCTTATTCTGGAAAGGTTTCTGAGGCAGTCAGTCCAATGTGAACAAAGTGAGAAGGCCTGGATGGACTCTCTAGGGCTCACTTCTCCATGAAACTGGGAGTTCCTGGGACACCGCCAGCCAGAACGGGAGATAGCAGCAAAGCAGCCAGTGGAGGGGCCAGTGACCAAGTCAGACAGAGCAGTCTCCATGGAGCTGAGGTGAGGCTTCAGGGGAGTAGAGATCAGGAATTGGTGCTAGAGGAGAGGGCTGGGAACTAGCAAATGGGCTTTACAGATTAGTGAGTTGGCCTAGGGAGAGAGAGAGGATGGGCAGGGTCAGTCTGGACCAGGGCCATTGTGATAGAGTTCTCAGCTGGCCTGGAGGGCAGAGGCCAGGATGTCTTAAGACAGGTGGAAAGGGAGCTCTGTGGTTCTGGGGACGAGGAAGTTCCCACCCTACCTCTAAGTGTCAGAGATTCCACCAGCAGGGAACAGCAGGAAATCAGTGATGCTGACTAGAGAGAAGGCCGGGAGAGGGCCTGCTGTGCCTCTCAGTGGAGACCAGTGAGTGGGGCCTCCTTACCTGGGAGGCTTGCTCAGTCTGCTGTTGTCCTTCAGTCCAGGACACTTGCTCCCTGCCTGCAGCTGAGAGCTGTGTTGGTATTGTCATTTTGTTTTGCTTTGCTTTAAACAGAGAGAATGTAGAATTATTATGGAAAATGAGAAAATAATTCCATAAAGTGCCTCCAAGGGAGGACTACTTTGGTTTTAAAAACATTTTGTTGTTGTTAAAATTACTATTTCTTGGAGTTGGAGAGATAGCTTAACAGTTTTCTTACAGAGGACCCAGGTTTGATTTCCATTTGGTGGTTCACAACCATTTGTAACACCAGTTCATGAACTTGATGCCTCATTCAGGGTGCATGACAGTGCATTTATATTCAGGCAAAAATTCATACACATAAATTGTTAAATTAATATTTCTGGCCTGGAGAAAGGCTCAGTGGTTCAAAGCTATTGCTCCTCTTGCAGAGGCCCCAGAACCTACATGGCGGCTCACCACCATGCCTAACTCCAGTTTCAGAGATTCTGATCACCTTCTGATCTCTGCAGGCATTAGGGACACACATGTTGCATGTACATATATGTGGGCAAAGCATTCAAATACATAAAATAAATAGATACATAAAAAGGTTTTTTATTTATTGTAAATCTGTTCAATAAGATATGATTTAGTTATCCAATCTCATTCTCTGTAGCCAAACAGCATTATTATTTCAAGGGAATGAAGGTGAAGGAAGCAAATTATCCACTACTTACTACAATGTACTGTCAAGTCTTGCCTTAGACCCCTTTGGACAAAAGCTTTATATTCTAGCCCAGGCAGAGTTGTTATTTCCTTTTTTATCCACATACTTCATATTTGTGATGTCAGCTGTTTATTTTGTGTGTCTGCCAATGTATGTGCACCGTGCCCATGTGAAGGTCAGAGGACCACTTGGGAGTCTCTTCTTCTACTGTGTGGGGTCCTCAGATTGACCTCCGTCTTGGCAGCAAGTGCCTTTACCCACTGAGTCATCGCACCAGCCCCTCACTGCTTGTTCTGAGACAGGCCTTCTATGTAGCCCAGGCTCTTTCAAACCCTGCTGCTCCTGCCTCAGCCTCTCAAGTATTGGGATGGCAGATGTGGGCTCCTCACATTAGTCTGAAAGAGCTCTCACTGGTCACAAGGTGGATGCAGAGAGGAGGAAAGTGGCCACCAGGCCTCCGGGCATTCATTGCCCAGTGGCTGCCCAGGCCCTGTGAGAGCAGACCCAGAGAGGGTGGAAAGGCATGCTGTGCAAAAGGTACCAGGGAGGCTCCACCAAGGGAACCTCCCCTACCTGTTCCAGACGTAACTCCAGACTTTTGAGGACTCTTCAGGAAGGTCACTGCTCCATCTGGACATCTTCTCACAGGTGAAGGACAGAATTGCTGTAAACAGATGTAACGTTCCAGAATACAATAGTAAAACCTTTTTACAAAAAGTTGAGGCCAGGTGGTATTGGTGTGCATCTTTAATTCTAGTACTGGGGCTGAAGGTAGTGGGAGAGGCAGAGGCAGGCGGATCTCTCTGAGCTTGAAGCCAGCCTGGTCTACAGAGCAAGTTCCAGAACATCTAGGGTTTCATGGAGAAACCCTGTCTTGAAAATATGAAAAGAAAAAAGTTAAACAAAGGGCTAGAGACATGTCTCAGTGGTTGCTCCTGCAGAAGACTGGTTGTCCCCAATACTCACAGAGCAGCTCCATAGTTTCAGTTCCAGTTTCAGTTCTGACCTCTGCAGGCATCAGGCACATACTTGGTGCACAGATATACACACAGGCAAGGCATCAGACACACACACATATACACAATTAAAAATCTAAAAAGGAAATTGAACAAGAAACTGGGTGATAGAAGATGGAGACCGTTGCAGATTCTCCAGCTCGCAGAGAATGGAGACTGAGTTTAAAAGTCCATGAGGGCTCCAGGCATGCTGGATGCCCAGGCCAGAGATGCCAGCTCCCGAAGAATGACAGGGAGTCTTTTTAATTACGAAAGCTTGACTTGTTTTCAACTAACTCTTTTTTTGTTTGTTTGTTTGTTTGTTTGCTTTGTTTTTTGAGAAAGGGTTTCTCTGTAGCTTTGGAGCTTTCCTGGAACTAGCTTTTGTAGACCAGGCTGGCCTTGAACTCACAGAGATCCTCCAGCTTCTGCCTCCTGAGTGCTGGGATTAAAGGAGTACGCTACCACCTTCAATTACCTCTTAAAACTTAAATTAGCCAATTTATATCAATCTATGTTCTGCCACATGTTCATTACCTCTCCTCCATACTGTACATCCATCTTCCTCACTGGCAAATCCCCTACCTCTCAGAGTCTTCCCCTAAGTTCCCCTCTCTCCCTGAAAGTCCTGCCTATCCTCTCCTGCCTGCCTATTGGCCATTCAGCTCTTTATTAAACCAATCAGAAGGTGTCTTAGGCAGGTGAGGTAAAACAGAAATGTCTTTACACAGTGTGATCAAATCTCTTGCAATTCATCTGGAATCTCCAGATCTCAGTCCCACGCTTCTGAGTCCTCGTTCTTGAACTCTATGGTTCAGGGATTTAGATCAAGGGTCAGCAGGTTCTAGAGTAAATATTTTAGACTTTAAAGACCACATGGTCTTGATGACAACCACTCAACTCAACACAGGTGTGGCTGTGCCCCAATAGTGCTTCACTTCCAACAACAGGCTGATGGGCGAGGGTCAACCCTTGGACTTTGTTTGCCCTGCCATGATGTTAGAATTGTGTGATGTTGGTTTTCATGGATCTCACAAGTTTCCGAGGCTTTAGGAGATTCTGGGTCCAGGAGAGATGCAGATCACATGACAATAAAAGTTTTGAATTGGGTAAACAAGTGAGGGTTTTTGTTTGTTTTGTAGATGATCTTTTTGTCGTTGTTTTGTTTGTTTTGAGACAGAGTCTTACTATGTAGCCCAGGCTGACCTTTGACTGACTATGTAGCCCAAGCAGGTCTTACAATTCTGCCTCTCCCTCCCCAAGAGTTAGGATGTGCCACCGTATTTGGTTTAGGCAAATCTTTAGTATGTGTGTTGCTGGAGTATAACCCAGGGCCCCCTGCATGCTAAGCAAGTGGTTTGTTACTAAGCTATACCTCTTGCCCTAGGCAAATCTTAAGGGGGGGGGGTCCCTTTGAGCACCAGTCCTGATGGCTTCCTCTTCACACCTGCCTTTCCTTCAGGGCAATGGCAGCAGACGTGGACTCCTGGAATAGCACCATCAACGGCACCTGGGAGGGGGATGAACTGGGCTACAAGTGCCGCTTCAACGAGGACTTCAAGTACGTGCTGCTGCCCATGTCCTACGGCGTGGTGTGTGTGCTCGGGTTGTGCCTCAACGTTGTGGCTCTTTACATCTTCCTGTGCCGCCTCAAGACCTGGAACGCCTCCACCACGTACATGTTCCACCTGGCGGTTTCTGACTCTCTTTACGCAGCCTCTCTGCCACTGCTGGTTTATTACTATGCCCGGGGGGACCACTGGCCATTCAGCACAGTGCTCTGCAAGCTGGTACGTTTCCTCTTCTACACCAACCTCTACTGTAGCATCCTCTTTCTCACCTGCATCAGTGTGCACCGGTGCCTGGGTGTCTTGCGTCCTCTGCACTCCTTGCGCTGGGGCCGTGCCCGCTATGCCCGCCGCGTGGCTGCAGTGGTGTGGATTCTGGTGCTGGCCTGCCAGGCACCCGTGCTCTACTTTGTCACCACCAGTGTACGGGGGACCCGCATCACTTGCCATGACACCTCGGCCCGAGAGCTCTTCAGCCATTTTGTGGCCTACAGCTCCGTCATGTTGAGTCTCCTCTTCGCTCTGCCCTTTTCCATCATCCTTGTCTGTTACGTACTCATGGCCCGGCGGCTGCTCAAACCGGCTTATGGGACCACAGGTCTGCCTCGGGCCAAGCGCAAATCGGTGCGCACCATTGCCCTGGTGCTGGCCGTCTTTGCCCTCTGCTTCCTGCCTTTCCATGTCACCCGCACCCTCTACTACTCCTTCCGATCACTTGACCTCAGTTGCCACACGCTCAATGCCATCAACATGGCATACAAGATCACCCGGCCATTGGCCAGCGCCAACAGTTGCCTTGATCCTGTGCTCTACTTCCTGGCAGGGCAGAGACTTGTCCGTTTTGCCCGAGATGCCAAGCCACCCACAGAACCCATCCCCCGTCCCCAGGCTCGTCGCAGGCTGGGCCTGCAAAGGTCTCACAGAACTGACACAGCCAGGAAAGATGTGTCGATCAGCAGTGATGACTCAAGACGGACAGAGTCCACTCCAGCTGGGGACGAAACTAAGGACATTCGACTATAGGTCAGAGCCCTCAGGCATGCTCTAGTTCATGTGGAAGCTGTAAGGAACCAAGGCTTGTTCAAATGGGCCGATGTCCTCCGATGCGGATCATAGCAATTCTCATTTGGCAACAGCTCAGAATACTCATCCTGTGGTTCCAACAGTAACAGGACCCCAAAGTCCCCAATCATTTATCTATGTGAGTTGGGAAATCATACTTTAAGAAAGGCATTGACACCTGACTCCCATGCAGACAGCTGCCATCCCTGCCAAGGCTGGGGTTCAGGAAGGCTGTTTCAGCCTCATACATCCAAGGGAGGAGCAAGCCCAGAGAAGACACAGCAGAATCCAGGCTAGCTACCTGAAATAGGAATGGGATTACAAGGTGACTAGTGGACTCTTGTAAGTGAGCAGTGCTGAGTCCCCATCGTCACTTGGGATGGAATTGGGCACTCCAGTGGATTCGGCTCAAAGGCTTGACCCTCAGGCCAAGAGACAAACACCTGAGGACTGATTTCAGATCCATCTGGAGGCTCCCCTGGGCCGGAAGCCGGATAGAAATCATAACTTATATCAAAGATTGTGCCGCCTGTCGGGCAGTGCTCCTCCGCATGGTCAGAGGACAGGGCCTGGCCGGGGCAGTGTTCGTCACCTATGCAAAGGAAAAGGCCAGTTATTTCTGACTACTGTCTCCCGGAAGTCTCTATCAGGGATCCCTCTTCAGACCCCCAGGTCAACCCCACTTCTAAGCCACCTGTCTTCTGTATTATACTATGCCAAGCACAGAGAAGCGTCAAGTAGGAGTCTAGTTCTTGGGGTTTCTCAGTTCACATAACTTCACATGTGCCGGTGAATGTCAAACCATTTAACTGAACTGGGAGGGAGACCTTTATTTATAGCACTGACAATTGCTGTGGGGCAAATAGCACCACCATGGCCAATCAAATTTCAAACTTCCAATTGCCAATACAATGGCAGCCTCTGCAAAATTCGTAAAAATCAACAACTGGTTCTTTTTTGTGGGGAGTGGGAAGTTAATGTTGCTGGTTAGATGGGATCTCAGGTAACCATTGGTGGCCTCACATTTGCCATGTAGTTGAAGCTGACCCTGAAATTCTTACCTTCTTGTCTTCATCTCCTAAGTGCTCAGACTACAGGCAGATGCCACACCTATCCCAACAACTGGTTCTTAAAAGGTACTTCAGGGTACTTCATCACAAACCACACTGTGTAGCTAGGACTGTGTGACCCCTGGTCAGGGAGGGTTCCCTAGAATGCCAGAAAGTGGACAGGGCCAGCTCTGGGGTTTAGGCAGGAATAGACACAGTTGACAGGTCTCACTTGACCTCAAGGACAGGAGGTCCCTGTCTCCCATCTCACCTTGTCTGTCTCCTAAATCTCCACTCTCCCATTAAAGTTGAGGCATTCCCCACTTGCTCTTTGAGATGTTGCTCAGAATAACCCGTAGTTCCTGGACTCTGAGGATTCACCTCAGCGCCTAAGAAACTGGTTTATCAGTAGTCTTTTTATACAGCTTACCTCCAGAGCGCCCTCAAGTGACAAGGAGCCATCACAGTCCGGGATCCAAGTTATTATTCTGCATATGTATGCAGTTTAGCGTTATCTGCCCAGAGTAGTGTGAGATGCTCACCTCCTACATTCCGTGTTCACACTACAGTTAGAGACCTCCACATTCCGTGTTCACACTACAGTCAGAGACCTGGAGTCTCTCTGAGCTTTGGTGACTTCCACTATGGACTGTCACCATGAACTTCCACTATGACTGTTCTGGGTCTTTCCTGCAGGCCTGAACTTTCTAACATCCTTCCTACAGAGAAACAGAACTGTGCTGAGACCTGGAGGCACAGATCCTTTACTGTTCACTGTGGCTGGGGATAGGACCACACTGCCGTGCCCCCAGGAAGCTTTCTTTGAACCACTGCATGCAGATTTCGAAGGACACCGTCTAGGGGACAGCAAGGGCTCTCTCAACCTAGTTCTGTGCAGCCACTGGCAGTAGTGGAACCAGGGGCTAGGCCTATAGTCCTACATTCAGGAACCAATCAGGCTGCTGTGCACATCTAGGCCTATAGTCCTACATTCAGGAACCAATCAGACTGCTGTGCACATCTAGCCTTGTTGCTCAGGGTTCAGGTCACTGGCCTGGCGGGTAAGATTCCTGACCCTTCTGCCTTGTGCTATTTTCAGCCCAAGTTAAGACCAAGATTTTCCATCAACCCCAGACCATTGTCCAGCAATGACGTGAGGTGACCTGTCTATCCTCAAAATATCTCTTCCAACCCTCTGGGCCTCTCTGCCCACTTCCTACCCTGATAACATGTCCTAGGGCTGCTGACTCCTGAAGGCCACTGTGAAAGGGCACAAGAGCCACCCAGTCACTGAACAAAAGCCCAAGGGTTGTCCAGCCCTGCTGCAGACTCAAAACTAGAGGGGGAGGGAGCCTGTCCAAGGTCAGTGGGTAGGTCAGTGTGGTTCCTGGGCATTGGCTGCTGTGCCACCCCTCCAGGATAGGTTAGTGACTTCGTGAATGTCCTGCATCCCCTGTACTGCCCAGCTCCTCCCCCAGAGCTGGAGAACTGCCACCAGGGACTTAACACAGGAGAACTAGAAGGGGGCAAGGTGAACAAAAAAGGGTGAGAGAATACGGGTCTCTACAGCTGCTCTTCTCAGTGAACACCATGTGACCAGGCATGAGCCCTCGGATCTAAGAGCCTCTTCCCTGAGTGTCCCTGGAGGACACTGATGCCCTTGTCCTGAGAGATCAGAAAAGATCATAGACAACATGTCTGGTTGTTCCAGGGTTGGTGTGTGTCCGGCCCATGCCAGCCCTGTGCTACAATCATCATGGCAAATTTGGACTCGTCTGTTTAGAACAAGTCATAGGGTCTAGAGCTCATGTAGAGGACTATGTCTCAGGCACCAAGCGGGACTCACACATGACTTATTTATCCTTCGCAACCAGTTTGTGAGATAGATATTATCAGTGCCGCTTAACAGTAGACAAAGCAGAAGCCGGCAATTGGAGGGGGCTAGGTCTAGATGAGTTGCAGGTAATACAGGCAAGGATGACTGAGTCAAGAAAAAGTTCGGATCCCCAGAAGTCCCAGTGATCCTCTCTGTCCCACATGTCACAGGGCAGGAGAATCTATCAGTGCTCTTTCTCCTGACTCAGGCCCAGACAATTGTAGTGGGAAGGGGGGCAGCACCCAAGTTTGGTTTGAAGGTCACACCTACTTTTCCAACATAGTCCCTTGCATCAATTGATCCATCTCATAGCACCTCACTTTGTCATCTCAATGAGATATAACTGCCTGTACAGGCTCTTACCTGGGTACACACACACACACACACACACACACACACACACACACACCACTTAGTCCAGTGTCTGCCACACAGAAAGTGCTCCACATGCACACTGCCAGGGATATGAGATAAGCCCTTGGGCCTAACCTTCCCAGAGTTCAGTCAGCAAGTGCCTAGGTCCCTTTTGCTCAGAAATCCTGAGACCAAATTCCTACCCCACAGGCTGTGGAAGAAAGGATGTAGGTTCATCTTAGAGAAAATGCGATTCAATTCCACCCTGCTTGGCACTGGGTAGCCTCTAGTGCACAGGCTTATGTGTGCTTCCAGACCCTTGCCTTAAAATGGCAACTGAGAGGGGGAAGAGCAGATAGTGAGGCAGGGGCGGAGGAGAGAGCCTCTACCCACACAGTGTAGGCTTGGCTAAATATCCGTGACTGCTTGTGCCCACCATGGTGGTCTATGGCCATGCCTCCATTCAATCACGTGTTCTGAGATCCAGAATGGAAGAAGTGACCTAGGGATGGGTCACGGAAGGTAACTAATGTTGTAAGACCTGAAGCTTCCCTCTGGGCAAGTGGGAGGTATTGCTTCTGGGTTCTGGTTCTTTCCTCAAGGCACAGCTGTTCTTCTCTAAGGATTGCCGAGGCCACCAAAAGGCGAAGAGACTCCACACAGTGCCACACAGTGGGCTGCTCTTGTGGGTGAGGAGTTTAGCCAGGCTGCCCTGAGGGTAGAGGAAGGAGAATGAAGCCTGAGGGTCAAGACCCATCTCCCTCTGCCTCTGTTGACAGAACCTGGGCCAGATGCTTCTGCTCTCTGGGCCTCGGTTACCCCATACCTGACAACTGGCTTTGTCTAGCCTGTCTTTGTTCAGAAGGGGCTTTCTGGGTTTGCCCTGATTTCTGAGCCAGCTCAGCCGGGTGTCCTGTTTCAGCTCTGTCCCAGCCAGGAACAATGAGCCAGTCACTTGTTGGACCAAACCCTGTCCCCAGGGTCTCCGCCCACTATGTTGGACCATTGTCAGCAATGGAGTCAAAAAAGAACTTTCCACTCACAACACAATGATTCCCCCTAGCCCATTGTCCAGCAGTGACGTGGGGGATCTGCCTGCTTCCAAATATCCACTGTCCCCATCCTTGGGGCCTCCCTACCCTGCTCTCACCTCACTGACATAATTTCCTGGGGCTGTTGACACCTGATGGCTACAAAACACCATAAACAGCTTTCCTTGTTTGGCTGTTCCAGAGGACTGCAGGCCCAGAGAAGGTCGTGGTCGATCCAAGATCACACAGCAGTCAGAGAAGAGTCAGCCTACATGTGTCCAAAATCACACAAAAGTCAGGGTGAAAAGCAAAATATTCATCAGTATGGTTATGGGCCAAGGCCGGTTCAGGCACCTTCTCCTCTGTCCAGAGAACAATCTGGGGATCTCTCCTTGGACCTGGGATCCCATATATAATCAAGTTTCCTATAAACCCTAAAATGACTCCCTTAGTTGAAATATATTCTTCCCTGATCCCATATTCATCCTTCCTCCCTTCCCCCCATCCCGGTCAACCAAGCTTTCTCCATTCCTCCCCTACTCCCTTCTCTCTAACCCTCTCCCCTTCCAACAACCCTCCCACACCCCCCCCATGCACCCAAGGTTACCCACATTGGAGCACCAGACTGAGCCCCCCAAGGTCCAAATGAGGAGCAGAAGGACGAAGAAAATGACGAAGGACTGCGAGGGATGCTATCACCCACTGATACAAGGGGTCGGATCTAATGAGAGTTTACCAAGGGCAGTTGGACTGCGACTGAACGAGCACGTGATCCAACCAGATTCTCTGAATGTCGCCGGATTTTCTGAATGTGGCTGGCCCGGAGTCTTTCTGAGAAGCCATTGACAATGTCACTGGGACTAGTTTCCTCTGCATATACTGGATTTTTGGGATCCAGTCTGTTTGGATACTCACCTTCCTGGACCTGGAGGGAGGGGGGACGATCTTGAACTGCCCACAGGGCTTGAAACCCTGACTGCCCTTAGGGACAAAGAGGGAGGAGGAGAGGGAGGGGGGGTGGGAGGGTGTTGGGAAGAGGGGCGTAAATGGAAACTTTTATAATTTAATAAAATTACTTAAAAAAAAAAAGTCAGGGTGAAGCCCGGACAGAGCCCACAGTCCTCTGGCTGCTGCTTCTGCCTCAGTCTTCCTCATCAGCTCTAGTTTGCCTTCAAAGGCCTGGGGAAGTGGGGCTCCCAGACATCTAGGTGGTGGGGGAGAGAGAGGTAACTGGACTGAATCTCTGGTTCTCTTCTTTGAGTAAAGAACTCAGAGCAAAGGCCTGAACTTCCAGTCTCGTTTTTACCAAACGAGACTGTGGCTCTTGGGGACTGAATGTGTCCTCCCCAAATTCATGTGCTGAAATTCCAACTGCCCGTCCGCTGGATGTGATGGTGCTTGCCAGTGTCACCCCAGCAGGTGAGGCGGAAGATCAGGAGTTCAAGGCCATCCTTGGTAACTTAGAGAGTTCACTGAAGACCTGCTACATAAAACTCTGACTCAAACAAACATCCAAAAAATTTTAATTATTAGATCTGGAAAGGGGAAGCCTTGGTGAGGTAGCTAGGCCATGAGGATGGAGACCTCGTGAGTGGGGTTAACGGGGCCAGCTTTCTGTTGTCATAACGAAATA